ATGAGAAAGCTAGAGATCTGATCTTTGGTCTTTTTGGTTTAATGTAATTGGGATTATTGAACAATTTCTGAAGAGGAATGGGAATTCTGCATTTTCTTTTTTTCAAATTTTTTTTGTTTTGGTTTTTTTTTTTATCTTTTGAAATTTGTGAATTACTACTTGCTTGCGTGCATGCAATACTATTTACGTGCTAAACCTAATCCAATATAAGTGGAAGCTATATTTCTGGCCGGTTAGTTTTGAAGTTCATATTTGGTTAGAGATCCTTTCAATGAGATTTTGGTACTTGGCCTAGTTTGTGTGTGTAAAGCTGGCATGTGGATATGCTTGTGGTCCACTTGGCAAGTGTTACAAAATTGCTTGGATATATTTATGTTGGGTTGATTTTGTTTGAAGCTCTGGAATTGTGCGGATTTTATGATGAAGTGATTGGCTATGTAGTGGCACATTTTAAGGTTTTCTTTCTTTCCTTCTTTTGTTCTTTTTCAGCCGGGCACTCTAATATTTCTGTAGTCTAGTAGCTAGTTTAGATTTCCGCTGAGAAATATTCAAGTGAAGAAGGAGGAGATTTTTTTGGTAGGGTTTAAAAAAATATCTTAAAACAAGAAATGGGATATAATAAGTACGTTCTAAAACAACTCAGGTACCCAAACATAGGATTCAGAAAATGCCATTTGAATATTTGCATTTTGTCAGTAATAATTCCCATACTTTTTCTTGGCCTTTCTGAAAGGAAAATGTTGCGAAGCTGGGGGGCAGCAATTTTAAGGAGAGACATCAATAATTCTTTACTGTTCTTGCTAGAAAAATCTTGATTGCAGTCGCAAATGAATAACAATAATGCGATTGTCTCGGTCCAAAAAAGACGGGTTTAATAGAATTAGTCACATATTAATAGATGATGATGAGTTCCAAACACGAGATCTACTTTCCACTTAAGCTGGACCTCATTTGGATGTGTGGATGTGTGTGTGTGATTCAAGGTGCGATTTCAATGTCTCGTGATTTAGTTTCGGGAGTTACAATATATATATATATAACAATAATAATAACAACAAAAACTAACCTTCTTTGCACATCCATCCAATTTGATCCTCCTAAATTCTCTTCAATACGATTTTTCTTGGGACATGGTATAATTTTACCATCCTCTTTATAAATTCACCATTTAGAGACTTTGTTTAAGAGAACTTATGCTTTTACTTTTAAACAGAAGATGAGCACAAGTCTGATTTTTTTAGTTAAATACTTTGATATAAAAAAGAGTTTTTATTTTAGAAGAGTTTTTGAACATGTTTAGTAATTAAGTCAAAACTTTTATTGTTAAAAGAGTAATGTAAAACAAGGATAGGGATAGAATTTTTAATTTGTTATTCATAAATAAAAAATAAAAAATGTAAATAAAAAAACATTTTTATAAGCTCTTTTATCATAAATTATCTCAAAAGGTTGCTCAGAGAAAAAAAAATTTGTCATAAAAAGGATATAAAAGCTAAAAATATTTTCATGCTATCCATCTAAATGCTTCGAAAGTTATCGGACAAAATAAACCGAAAGCAAATTTTTTTTTTTTTTTCAAGTCAATGCCCTTAAGACTATTCACTTGATGTTTGAATCATCATTAGTTTTCTCCTTTTTCCTGTACTTTTTAGTTTTTAGCATCCTCTAGAGCAGTCTAGGCCATATAATTAAAAATTGCAATTATCTAGTATTCTAGTTTGTATTCTTGTCGACAATAATCGTCGATCAAATCCATCCTAACGGAACTCTCCGGATAGTTCTAAACACTTTACTTTAATAATTCTGATGCATGCATGGAAGCATCATCTACAAATCCGGATATTCTCTGCAACTGTAGCCATTCCCACATAATAGAATGTTGGTATTAATCACAAAACTGGGGATGATATTGATCCATTGAGCAAACTACACTCTATTTTATTTTACTAAATGTATCATGTGCACTAAATATCGTTCATAGAATGATTAAAAAAAAAATTTTGAGCCGCTAAAAAAGATAATTACATTAAGTTTGCTTCTTTTCGAGGGCGTTTAGTTTGCAGGTTCAATAAGATAATGTGGACTGAAACCTAATCTATATAGATGTTTAAGAAATAAAAATAAGATTAAATTTAGATTCTAAAATCTGGTTTAAATCATTTAATTTGATATTGATCTTCGTATTTAATAGTTGAGATTTAAGCGCAGTAGTATATAAACTTCAAAAAATAGTATGTACAGTATCCTATGGTACCCATTATATATACAATGGCATACCATTTGTTTCCTAGGAGGGGTACTTATCTGAAAGACAGCGAGGATGGTAGGGAAACGACCCATGAGCTTGTGTTTGGGAATATCTTTTTTTTCCTCTCTCCAATTTTCTTTTTCTTTTCTGTTTATGGTAGGGCTTGTTTGGCTGGTTAGGTAGTGATTTGTTTGAGGGTCACAAGAAATGGTGTGGAGTGAGGGAGCAGCCCATGCTAAAACGACCCATGATAAGGTTTTTAAAGGGTCCCCTACTTGCCCTGCCCTAATTGACCTTTTGGTATTTTGGGATCACATTTTTCCAATTGTTCATTTAATTTTGGAGCATTCTAATGGAGCTTTCAATGATACTGTCCTTATTAGTAATGTGCCTTTTTTGAACGTTAGATCTAATCAAAATCGTGAGAAAATGAATTTAGAAGTGGCTGCTGAAAGAGAGTGAAGGGATGATCATGAGGATGTGGTGCAAGTGTATTAGACCGGTCTTCGTGGTGCTGGGGAAGGCTATGACGGCTTTGTTAGTAGTGGAAGTTGCGGCTGATCGGAGGGTTATTAAGCCGATTTTTGAGGGTGATGCCATGTTGGTTGCACTTGTGCGTTATCGGAAGGGAGCTTCAATTTGGAGGTGAACTTTATTAGGGAACAAGTGGTCTCGGCATTGATATTTCTAGGTCTTAGTTAGGTTAGGACTTGAGTCTTTGCTTAAGCTGCTCTTTTCTGGCAAACCTTTTGCCTTCTTTATTTTTGTTTTCATAATAATGATTTTTTTTTTTTTTTTTTTATCAAAAGAATTGATAAAAGTTATACAGATCTTACGGTTTAAATTAGAGCCCTACCAGCTATTTTTTTTGTTTTTTTCATATAAGAATTTTCATCATTTATTTAGATTTTGGAGGATTAAATTTGGTAATACGCGTACGGCTCATTCACTGACTTTACCAAGGTATGGCTGACATCTGAGGATGGGGGATATAATAGATTCTTGGCTCCAACCCATGACTGTATATGATGATTTATGATATGTATCTGAATCTGCAAGGACATTACTTGGGGGACTACTTTTTCAAACCTTTGTGGTCTATTTTCTCATCACGAAGATATAATGATCCCCATTGTGGGACATGCACGTTGAATCCCAAGCAACCCATTATAGGTGTTTTGTTTTTTGTGTGGTTTAGGAGGCTGAATTTATTTCTTAGTCCATATTACATATATATATATATATATATGTATAAGGTTCTATACACCTTCCATTACACTAATTCAGTTAACCCTTCAATTAAACCGGAAGAACTTGATAAAACCAGCAGACAAATTTTCTTGACCAAGCTTTGAGAACAAAAGATCTGAATTCCCACCAAGTAAATACCAGTATACTTTTACAATTAAAAATAAAAAATAAAAAAGGAGAGACATGATAGCCTCTACAGTAGTGGGAAGCCAGGTTCAAAAAGCGGTTCCCTTATCTTATTTGACACCATATGTTAGCTTTGCAGAGAAGCATAATCATGAAATTAAGACAATATTAAGACAAAAATTAAGTTTAGTTCTGTAAAACTCGAAGCACTTTGAAACTTCACATTTATGATAAAATTTTTCATAATAAATATCATTACTTTATGCGAAATTATTGGCCGACTTTGGGTCCAGCCTTTTAACTCAAGTAGGCACACCCATTGCCTTCATACCAACCAACAAACAACTCTTTAAATCTTTTCATTATCGTTAGGAAGCTAAGAATTCATTGCCTCCACATAACTCCATAATTAGTCCCTTATTCCATACTACTTTATCCACACCAAAATAAACAACTAATTTCTTGGACGTACACTCAAATTCACTCTCTATTTATTGCTACTTTTGGCACAAACCACTTCTGCTGTTTGACTATAAAAACTTGATAAAATCGTCTAACCTCATTATTAGCACAAAACAATCGTCTAACCTCATTATTAGCACAAAACACCACTTTATTGTTTCAGAGTTTCTCTGATAGTATCTCTATCAGTATGACCAATTTCTGACTATTGAATCTTATTTATTTGTCTTGAAAAAGGAGAAGGGTTTTTTAGCCTATCAATAAAACTCCATGTAAAATCGTCAATATCTTCATCAATTTTCATCCATTCACATTTTTTTTAGTTCTGATTTGATCTTGCACGTTCAAAACTGCACTGCGATAGGACATTTCTTTTATACCATACTACATAGAGAGAGAGAGAGAGAGAGAGAGAGAGAGAGATGTCCTTAAACGACCACTTGACAACTTAATCGAACCACAAGTAGAATTGAAAAGAACTTGGCTCACACTTCTGTCAACTAGTATCTAGAGAATCCAAAATCACATCAACTAAAGTCATATTTAACAGGCCGATGAGAGGTACAATTTCAATCTCACATTGGACAAAGAAATCAATTCTTAGATGTTAGGGCAAAGGAACCTTGGTAGAATGTCGTTCGCCACTAAGCCACCGCCGCTAGTAATGAATGACACAAGAAAGTTGTGTACATAAATCGCACAAAAATTGAAAGAGGGATGATAATCGGCTGTCTTGTATTTTCAAACTCTAGCCTTCCAGAAAAGAAGTTACCTACGTACCGTAAAACGGTTCTTTTTTCTTTTTTTTTTTTTCCCTACTAGAAAAACTGTTCTCATAGCAGTACATAATATATATATATATATATATAGCAGATAAAATTAGAGATGAAATTAATCAATTTATATTCCTCTAAAAATTAACATTTATGCTGAATCAAGAAAAAGAATTATTCAATTATGAAGATTGATTAATTAGCAACTCCAATAAACTACATGTTACTAAATACAGTGCTGATTTACATCAGACAAAAATCACAGCAGAATTGAATTCTTCCATCTATAATCTGTTTCGAATATAGCTCAGTTGTCCTTGCAATTTCTTGAGTAGCTGGAAGAAGACAATCTGGACTGTGGCTGCAAAAAATCAAAAGGAGTTCCGGCTCCAAAAGATCTTCGAATGGCATTTGGTGAATCTGACAACAAGGGTTCAAAAACTGGATTTCGGTTCTTGGGTTGAGTTATGGACAATGGAGAAACATCTTTCTCTATCGATCTCGCTTGCGGCTCAATGTTCCCTAGTGACAGGATAGGCCCTCCCAGACGTTCAGCCTGCTGAAGTGTGTTGATTTTGCTTGGTCTATACGTGTACCGGAAGAACTTTAGAGCAAGAATTGGACCCATCCCGGCCACAACTATGAGCTGTAATGGGATGGAAGTTTCTCTTAGTTCATAGCAACATGCATTGTAAGGAATGAACTTGATTTCAGACAAAAGCCCCGATAATCATACTATGCTATAATTCTTAAAAACAGGGCTCTGTTTTGAAAAGTCAGATTTGTATCTGTTTCTATCGTCTTTGCATACTATTTCTTACTAGATCTAATGTTCATAAACATGCACTACCAGTAGCCTTACCATAGAAAGCTCCTTTAAAATCCAAGATGATATTTAGAGACAAGCCAGAACCAAAGAATAACAAGTTCAAAAGATGGCAAAGAGAAACTTACAAACACAGTTATCCAATAAGATGGTTGTCTACACAAGCGAAACATAATTGTATACATCCCTGAAGATGGAATAGCACTGAAGATCCAGTTGAGGATGTAGAACGCAATCAAATTCCCCCATATTGCAAGATGTTGTAGTACAGTAAAAGAACTGCAGGCATCAATCAAAGTAAAATTCAGACAGACAGGACAAACTAAATACTATAAACTTTCTTCTGAAGTTTCTGGTCGGCTTTTGTGTCGAGGCATTAAAAAACTAGTAAGTCCCAATGTAGGATAAAGCTAGATATGCTTCAAAAAAGACACTTACTAATCAAGTTGAGGCAAGGCCAAGGCAGTACATAAAGTCAAATTTGAACCTAAAAGCTTAAGAAAAAGGAAAGAGGCTTACTTCGTCTCCAATGTCATAACAAAAGCCTGCAACCAAATACATCCAGAGAGCGCGACCAACGAGACCTCCTCCATTTCACTTTTTTCATAAGCATATGCATGAATGCTGATAATGAATACAACAATTGCCTGGACATCGAGCATGGTATCGGTATAAATGGAATAATAACAGGCATAATATTTTGATTAGGCAAATCAACTTATAGGATAGATCTTAAATCCTTCACATAAGTTTGGCATGAGCTCTCATCAATAAAATTACCATTTCTTATATCATTGAGCTTTATATGGAAAATGCAAACAGTAAGTTAATCTGGAATTATATATTAAAAATAGCTATATTTCCTATTGCTTCTGCTACTATAGATCCCAAGAAAGGGATGCTCCAACAGTGATACTTAGCAAGATGTTCAGGACTGTAATCCCTTTCTTATCTTTTTTCCCTCTCTCAAATCTCAAGGGGTAATGAGCAACTATGAGTTTTAACCGATGTTAAGACTCGCTAAGTGACCTTAATCTTTAAATTCAATTGTTTCAGTGCGTAGAAATCAACTTATTCTGTGGACTTGGAATTGGACCAAGGGAGCAAAAAAATTGTCAAAACAAATGATGACAAACACAACTCACATGGAAAAGGGATCGCCCGAACCAACCAGCAAACGTACTAGGATTCAAAAGCCTGTCACCAAAAAGAGGGGGGGGGGGGGAAGTGTAACGTTATTATTTAGGTGATAGAGAAAACACCCATCAGCATATGCCTCACATAAGTGGAAAAGATAGTAGGAATGATGTTATAAATTCTAACCTTCCCGCTTGACAATAAAACAAAATTTGCGGATGCTGCATCACTGTTTCTTCACTAAGATCTTTATCAAGGACACTGACTAGAACAGGAACGCTTGTGTAGAAAACATTATAAGCCATCAAGCTAACAGAATTGAAGAGACTAGTACCCGAGACACCTGAAATGAAAGAGAAACTGAAAGTGCACTACAGTCAGTGCACCCGAAATAACAAAAACACAATATCTTAAAGGGTCAGTTTGCTTCACGCGTTTAAGTATAGTGAACTGATTCATTGGCGGAAACTTTGTGAGAGAATAAATTTTTGAATTCAAATTCTTCGTGAGATGAAAAACACTGTAGCAAAAACATAACCATAGTTCAAGTATAGGAACCAAACGGGGCGAAAGGAAAAATGTACGCACGCTACGCTAATAGTTGAGAAAATGAAAAGTTGAGAGTTTGGTGATATTGTGTAAAGGAACTCACAAGATTTGGATGAAGCATATGACCAGGGACTTGTAAAATGAGTACTGAGATAGAAATGCTGTGCGGTTGTAAGAGTAACGTCCATGAACAAGTATTAATCTTTTCAAAAACCTAAATTCTGCACACCAGAAGACGCAATTAGCACATTTCAATATTACAATAATTTAACAGTATCATAACAATTTTTTAAGCATCGCATAGATTTATTAGTGTCAACAACTCACTCCCAATACTATAATCAGCAGCCCTTGCAGCCTGCAGTCCCTCTCTCCCGCTGATGCCGACTCCAATGTCGGCTTGTTGTATCATCCTCACATCATTCCCACCATCCCCAATGGCCAATGTTCTATAATCACATGATTTTAAGATCTCCACAAGCTGCAAAAGGTAGCATTATATACACCATATAGTTACCCATCATTTCTCTCTCTATCTAAAAAGGATTGAGAAAAGAAAGGAGAATACGTTATGAGTAGTTACTTTCTGTACACTGGACTTGTAAATTGATCCTTTTCAATTTACACTCATGACATCACATCGTAATGTTAACTACTTATTTTGGTAGAAGGCAAAGATAAAAACATCAGAAAGAATAAATTAGCTTCTTGATTTAGTGCACACATCAGAATGAAACACAGATTAGGATGTCCCTTAAGAACCTTCAAGACAAACTAAACAAGAGAAAAAAGGTACCAACGTTGAACGAGTACCTACTTCAACAATCAATTTTGCAACTGCTCTAGCATTAACCATTACTCGAAAATCCACCATTTTTAAAGAACAAAACTCAACTGAATCTAGGTTTCACGGTTCAAGATCTAAAATATTTGAAGGTATACTGCTTTTAGGTGTACTAAGAAAATAAATTATTAATATGACTTAGTCCTGTCCTTTCTAAGGATTTCCCTTCGAAAAGATTATTTCTGGCTTCTGCAAATAAGACTTGCGTACGGTAATAATAACTATGAGTTAAGGGAGGGAAATGAACATATATATAACAAATTTGTACCGACAATGCTTGCCAACCATACTAATACTCCATTAAGAAAAATAAAAAATAAAAAATATATATATGTATATGTGTCAGTACTTACTTGCGTATAAATAATGAAAAATCATATAAATAAATAAACCCTAATAAGGATCACCTGTGCTTTCTGGGATGGTGTTACTCGACAGCATATAGCAGTCCTTGACAATATTGCTAACTCAGTAAAAGTTTTTCGATAATGCTTAAGTGCAATTTCAAGAGCCCAGCCATCAACAACAAATGCCACATCCTGCCAAAAAAAAAAAAATATATTTTTTAAAAAAGGGAGAGGAAAAAAGAAAAGAAACAAATAAACATTTAAGGATACACCAGGTTATAGATTATCAAACATGTGAAGGGAGAGAGACATCCATAACTTCCTAAAAAAGATATCCAAAAATCTTAAACTAACATGGGGAACACACAATTTGTCACATATTTATCACAGCAACTGAAGATCAAGTAAAAAAATAATGGAGGTTCATGATATGTGAACTGTCTAATACAACACTCTTTTATATATTTTTATACAGCTGTTGAATGTGGATAATGAAAAAGGAATCTGTCACTTAATCTGAACTTCACAGAGCAATTGGAACTCTGTAATTTTACCTTAGGCTCTGAAGTGGTAATCCTCATTGTAAGTAAAACTCTCTCTAAACTTGTACGAACTTCATCTTCAGTTTTGCCATCAATCAACAAAAGTTGTCCTTTTGGCTCTGTCACACAAGAAAAGAGAATAAAAGAAGAGGATCAATGTCCAATTAAAAATGATTATAAGGAAAAAAAATGATATCTCGATCGAATGTAAGACAAATACACCAACAAAATACCAGTGCTTATAAGCAGAAGTACCCGTAGCAAACACAATATGATAAATACTCCTTTCTAAGAAAGCCGCACAACAGATGAACACACACATTCCTATTTCACTGTCTATGTAATGAAAATTGAAACCAAAGGTAAAATCAAACCAAGCCTCCGGAAAAGGAGATTGAAACACATAATAGTGCCTGGATCAGAGATGACCAGCTAATTCAGAGTCCATGAGACAAGTTTATCTACGATTTAAATATTTTCCATTTCCATGCAGAAAAAAAAAAGGTGGTTAATCTAGTATATATGAATTATGAATACCTGGTGAAATAAAATTGCAAGAAAGAGCTATCTGTATTGCTGTATTCTGCTTGTCACCAGTAAGCATCCAAAAATTGATTCCTGCTTTTCTTAGTGTCTCAATCGTTTCTGGTACGCCATCCTGACAGTTGAAATTCAAAATGTCATAAAGATAGTGGTATCTCGCAAAACTGAATTAGCAATATTGAATATCTAACTCAAGTTTGTTTTTCCCCTGACGAGCAATCTGCAATTAATAGAAAATAGACAATATCTACTTTTGCTTTTAGATCCATGGATTTTAATGCCTTACAGCAATATTTCACCTGTAAACGATCTTCTATTGCAGTAACTCCAAGGACCTCAAGATCACGTTCTAATCTTTGACAGACCTCAGCTAGTCTCCACTGCACAAAATAGTGAATAATTTTATAACTAATAATATGTCAATGTGTTCATGTTATTCAGGTGTAAGCATAATTTCCACTTACCTCTCGATCAACTAATGTGCTACTGGCCTCTTTGAACATCAAAGACCATTCCTGATACTCATCTTCCTCCAATTCACGCCAAGCAAGGCAAAGCGTTCGTAGACCCAATTGAGCATATTGTTCAACAGCTTCAATAAATGTCCTTGTTTGTTGTCCTGAGGTATATTGGAAACTATCAAACACCTAATACTCATATGCACTAACCATATATGTCTAGGTAACTAGAAGGGTATGAAAGAGCATTTAATAGCTGAGGACCAATATTTTTCTACAAAAATAAAAGAAATAAAAGAAAATGGAGCACTAGTATTTATAAAGCAGACTAAGAGACGTGCAAATTTCATGTACTAGCTTGCAAGATGAAGAGCAAAGCAGGTCGGAAGAATCAAAACCTACTCTGTGGTGGTATAATATAAGAGATCAATCACCATGATGTAACAAGATATACAACAAATTCTTTGAGCCAGGAAAAACTAACAGTTTCACCAAGGTTTAATAGTTGTTGCAAGTTGCAACTATGGCCAAAAGAAAAAACTGGTGTTACCGGCACAGGCATAAGGAAGAATTGCTTCATCTGCACCCTTTGACAAAAGGATAATCTTTCCATTCTGGCAATCCTTTACAACAACTGACATTCTTTTCCTATCGGAAGTGAACTCCAGAATTTCCAAAACCTCGTATTGAATTATAGAAGCATTGAACTTTATCTCTGCAATATACCGGTCGGAACTGTAAAGATTAATGTAAGATAAGAATATACTATCTAAATAGCCAAAAATAAACGATCTTTACCAAGAATATTTCCACTTTTATTGAAGAAAACCATATGCAGCTGTGCAGCAGCGTGAACAAGTGCATCCTCATCCTGGGACTGAGCCTTGTACACGATATCGCAGCTTTTGCTACAAAGAATAGAAGAAACATACAGATTAAAATACTTACATAAGTGCATCAAAAGTTTTTCTTTTTTTTTTTTTGTTTTTTTTTTTGTTTACATGAATTGATTTGAAAGTATGTAACACTTTAATCAGAAGGAATTCCATAGAATCTCGAGAGAAACAAAAAATGAAAGAAAAAAGCTGCGAACGGAAGCAACAATCACCTTTGAACAGGTATTACTGTATTACATATTGCCATAACTGTAAGGAAACGTATTACACCGGGAGAGCCACTGGAAACAGCATTGAGCAGCCTTGCATCTTTTTATCAGGATAAAACAAATCAGAAACTATAGTCAAGCTAAACGAGTTCCTAGAAGAAAATAAATCAATATAAATTTAGAAAAACATCTGCCCGTAGTTCTTTGGTAATTGAATATCACATGTCCATGATAAAAAAACTATACATGCCAAATGCCACATGTTATGTTAGCTGTTTGATAAACAAAGGTAATGAACAAAATGAAGAATGCACTTTCTGGAAAGCAAATGTTTTCCCTTTTTTCTTTTAATTAATTTTAAGATTAGTTACAAAAATTCCCCATGAATTATACTTCTTGTGACATTTTGCCCCCTGATTTTAAAACGTAACATCCGTTCCCCTTGAACAATGAAATATTAACAAAAAGGTCCCCTCCGTTAGGTTTTTAACGAAAATTGACATTTAATTTGAGGGTATTTTGTTAATTTTATGGTTTCAAATTTAATTTGAATTTAAATTACTTTAAATATTCAAAAAAAATTCATAAATTTGTTTATTCTACCAAAAAAAAAAATTTAACTTACACTCAATCAACACTGTATGTATCATAATTAAAAGTTCAAATTTAAATTAGTTTCAGAACCATTTTAAACCATAAAGCTACCAAAATACTCCAAAATAACAAATTACATGTCAATTTTCCTTAAAAAAAAAACCTAGTGTTACAAAGGGTATAGTTCATGAGGAGTTTTTGTAATTAATTCTTAATTTTAATTACACAAAAACACTTAGGTTTGAGCTTCCATAGTGGATTATACCCATCTAACAAGGATAGAGCCTAGAGATGTTGCATCACAATCATTCTCTAAAATAGCAATTTCAGCTCCTGGGCATCACAAGAACTCATGCAGCTGAATTAACCATAAGGGCACGTACAGGTAAATCATCTATAAAAGGCATTTCAGATGTAAGGTAAACTTAGCTTAAATCATCTATAAAGTGCATTTTGGAATTCAGATGTAAGGTAAACTTAGCTTTTACCTCCTAAATCACCAAATTAAATAATGCACTTGTAACAAAAAAGACAAGGTAACATGTTTATTACGACAAGAAAACAAACCTTTCAAGGCATCTCCTGTCTCATTTCCATAGAAAATGCCATTGATACAACACCTTCTAAAAATCATCCTATTTTCAGTTAGGGTACCAGTTTTGTCAGTCAAAATGTACTCCACTTGTCCCAGGTCCTCGCTAATTGCTGTACTGCCATATATTATATGCACCACTTATCTTATATTCACAAATAATATAAATAAATAACGTATTTGAAATCATCGACATTTTTTCCAAAACTAAATAAACTCACTTTGTTGCATGGGCTGGAGTACCCGTTTCATGGTCAATCATTTTATAATCCCACTCAATGAACTTTGCGTATAATCCCTTCACAAGATCAAGGGAGACCTGCCAAAGATTTAATGGTTTAAATTTTTAGAGACTATTAACAGAGATGCAGAGTCTTCAAATTTGAGTAATTTAGATTTTCATTTTAAATTAGTAAATTACAAATGCTAAAATGTACCTTAATTGATATGGGTATCATGATGGAACAAAGCAGTTCAAACCGAAGAGGGATAACCAACAGTTCATACCACGGACCTTCCTCGGGATACTGGACATACCATTGCTGCAAACGGGACAATAACCATATAAGGTGAAAGTATACATGAAAAAAAAAATGTAACTGATAACTCAAAAAGTTTAGAAAGATGTGATTCCTTCAATTTTCCTTTGGGATAATTAAAGATATTAAAAACTACCATGAAGTCAGATTTGAGAAAGGAAAAAGAAAAGCCCACTCACCTTCCTTGCTTCTGTATCCTTCCATACATTACCAGCGACTCCTAGAACCATAACGACCACAATTTGGAATACAAATATAGCTCCAGTCAACTTGTCTATCATGGCATCCACAGCTGTAAGCTTTGGTTCAGGTATACCCCTACTCATACCCAGCTTGGTTTCATTACCTGATAAACATAAGAAAAGTAGACAGATTTACAAACTTTTTAATTATAAACATATCTATGAATTATACACTAGCTTTATAATATCCCTCAAATGGTTGATACTTCCAACATTGAAATGGTCAGATTGTACATAAGGGGACAAGAACCTTGTAGGCGGTGAAGCCAAACAATAACATGACCGCGTTAAAAACTCCGTAATCCATTACACTATTCCCATCATATTACCAGGATATTCTTCTTTGTTATCCTTCCTTATGATACTCACACTTGTTCGGAGGGCCTAGGATAACTTCCTAGTTGGTTTAATGGTGGTGATGTCTTGTGTAATATGAACATTTTAATCATCCTGTGTTATACTGCTTCATTACAATTTTTTATCTTTCATTTTAATTTTCGACCCTCTCCTTTCCCATTGTTTCAAACAAAGGGAAAAATTCCTACAATATGTTTAAAAGCAGAAGGATATACAGTTAGCTATATGTCCTTGACAAAATGAATAAATGGAACTCGCCTGTATAAACAGCTACTCCGCATGCCCACTCTGTATTCCGCAAGTAACAAGACTGAAGAATTGTGTTTTTAATGGTCAATGAGCACAGATCATTATCAATAAATGGAGGAAACAACCTCAAATTTGCATCAAATCTTCTAATGTCCCTGTCAGGAACTGGGCACTCAATCACACCCTGCATGGGAGTAAAAATCATTACTTTGATAAAAGTGGAGGAAGGAAAAACAAAAGAAATCTCCACAAAAGATCTTGCCTTGATTTTGTGCAAGAGTTCAAGGTCAATCCCCATGCAAGCTGAGGGAATGACCCTAGTCTTTAGATCAGTTTCACCATCTAGAGCAGCGGTCTGCAAAAGGTTATGCTATTAGGCTCTTGAAAATCAAGAGAGGTCCAGAAAGGAAAGAGTTGAAAATCAGGCAGAAAACAGAACACACCCAATATGATCGTTTCGGATCTAAGAATAATTCTGAATGAAAATTTTAAGGGGATAAACATGTTTTTGTTACTCTAGAAACTCAATAATCATGTGAATGTGGGAAACTTCATACAACGTGAGAGAAAAAGGAAACTTAAACTATTAGGTTTTCAATAGAAATGAACTATTGCTCAAAAAAAAAAAAAAATAGAAATGAACTAGCCCAATAACCTAGCTAAGGTCTAGGTTTTCAATACAACTTTCTCATGCTCACTTGAACATTTGGTCTGTTTCAATTTTTTTTTTTTTCATACAGTGTACTTTACTTTCGCAGCATTAGTGCCTACCATTGATTCAAAAACAAATAAATGGTAGAAATGGTACAAAATTCTGTTCACTGCTCCCAACTTGGCAAATTCCTTTCAAGGTTTTGATGTTTACCTCGACATAGCACAGGCCTTGTGGATCGGAAGTCCCAATCAAAATAAGATCACACGGCACTTCATCATTCTCCCGGAGCCACACTATATTACCTACACGAATGTCCTGTGCTTGAATCTACAAACAATACCACCAACAAACAAAAAAGACAACAACTTGATTACACGGAGTTAAATACAGACAAACATGAAAAATAAAAGAAAGGATGAAATAGGTTTAATACATGTGTTTTTATGCCCTGCCTCACAACCCAAACTTCTTTCTCATTTGCTTTCTTGTCTGAAAGATATCTATGGTAGTCATCCCATGCCTCCTTTGTTGCAGAGACCGCGAAAATGAAAATAAGTGGACCCCATGTACTAGCAGGATTTACTGGAGTAATAAGAGACCATAACTGAAGGCAAGCTATTAACAAAAAGTACTGGTTCATGAAGCGGCTGACAACAGAGAAGCAATTTGTTAGAGGCAACGGAGAAAAGGAAACAACAACGTATCTCAAATCTCTAACGGATTCAGAACGTAAGAGTAACATGGAATAGAGTAACGAGCCAAAAATAATATTATCTAAGACACAAAAACAAATCATAATATGTAAACAAGTTAACCTCGTCTCCACCCCAGAAAACGACATAAAACTAAAAAATGCCTAATATGAATTTGCCAGGTAAAATGAATGAGCATAAAAGTAAAATTCTCCGAAACATAGGAATTAACCATGTCATGTCCCCAAACCATAATTTGAAAAACTCTAGGAAATAGAAAGAAAGAAGGAAAAAAAAATGCAGACCGGCAAAATCAGGATGCTGTAAAGTAAATTACTACAACAACCAATACTAAAATAAAAAAAATAAACAGCATCGAAATCACAAATCACCTGAACTGTTCCCATAAATTTTTAGGGAGGAAGTTAAACACATTATATTTCGTGTTCGATATTCGATTGGCGCAGTATAGATCACGCAAAGATTCATCATCGTTGATGTAGACGTGACGCTTCATTGTTGAACTAGGAGCACTTGACCATGTTCAAGTACTTGTTCCAAGTTCACAAAAAAACTAACATCATTCAGAAATCCGCCAAAGGAAACCAGGCACAAAGCTTGATCCCTGAAATTTTTGTAAAAGAAAAAAGTTATTTAGATATTCCACATTCATATTGCTTATGGTCCAAACTAATAACATTAAAATCACCCAAAAAACATATTAAATAAAAGAGGCCTAGCATGAGAACAACTATTGAACCACATCACAACAACTAATGCAGCATCTTAACACAATAAACAATATCCAAAACAGAATCATAATTGAAGAAAAAAAAAAGCAATCTAAATATTTAAATTCCTAGCTCAAAATTAGAATCAACACCAACAAATTAATCAAGAAGCCAAAGACGAATCCGAAATTCTGTTATATCCGTAACCGTGATCGAAAATCAATGACCCATTAAATGAAATGCCGGTTTTTTCACCCGGTCATCCAAATTACACCAAATTTTTACAGAAATGTTCATTTTCTGACGGATTCAAAAGTATTATGATATAAATATTGATTCGGAATATAAAGGAAAAGGGTATTTCGATCTTACCTGGGTTGTTCATCCACTTCTCTCTCTAGCTCCGTCCTTGCTCTTATGGCGCCTCTCTCTCTCTCTCTCTCTCTCTCTCTCTCTGTGAAGCTTCTTCTCCGTTTGAGGAAAATGCCCATTGGTAATTATTGAATGCGTGCGTGCTCATTGGTTGACTCTGTTTGGACGCACCATGCCCCGTCCAATGAAATGAAAAAACAATCCAGCTTTGCCACGTCATCTGAACGCATTAACATAGTGACGTGTCACAACTCTGTTGGAGTATGATGTGAACCATTTAATAATAGAAAGAAGAGAAGCGTGGTGTTTAAAAAAACAGGGACGATCCCACTCGCTGTCCAGGACTATCAAACTTGTTTTCCGCGTAATTTTATATGGTAGGTTATAAGTATAAATGAAGGACAATATCATAATCATGCCCGTTAAGATCCCATTAATTTTATCGATTTGAGTTTAAAATTTAAATTTTTTTACAATAAAAAATTTTAAAAAATAATTACATTTTACTTTTTTACTATAAATTAACGAATTAAATAGGCCCTAAAAATATATAAAGAATAATGTTAGAGACACTATTTTAATTTTAATATTTGTGTATCAACTAATGTCATGTGAATTGTTATTTTTAACTAGTAAATACAATTTTTTTATCATCAACTATCGTGGCAATGTTTTAAATATTTATTAACGTAAAAATGACAACTAACATACCACATCAGTTTATATATAAAATTTGAAGTTAGAGTTGATGTCTCTGGCATCTGAGTTCAATGAACCAAACATTACAACAACGTTTAGTTAGTGGATTCGTGTCATAATTCGGATCATAGTTCGTAACTCGCTGTAATATTTTTTTCACAAAAAATAAACATAAATTAAAAATTATTCTGAATCATAATTTTAAATTTATGAATCAAACGTCTACTATTGCGTTAAATAACACTGCCTTATGGAACAATTTGCAATTGCCGTACCCAATCAGTATTGACTTTCATGTCAACATTAGAAGGCAACCGCTTTTCTTTTTTTTTTTCTTTTTTTTCTAAAAAGATGATTACAAGGATAAACGTCGTGCATTATTACGTTATCTTTAAAAAGAGTGTCGATCCTATGTCTAAATTTCCTTTCTATGGTACTTTGTCACTAGCAGACTTGTCCCTCTCCCAGCGATCTGATTAGTTATGGGGATCGAGAAAATAAATATTATTAAAAATTAGTTATACTGTTGCCTCTTAAATTTTAAATCATTCTCACTTTATTTTTTAAATTTTAAAAATCATCACATTATCTTTTAAATTTTAAATTTGTCTCATTTTAAGTCTTTTTATAAGAATTTTTGTTAAAATTAAACAAAAAAAGAGTTAAATTTGACTACGTTATTTTTATCTATTTATTTTTAACATAAACTTAAACAAAAAAATTATGTGACTGCATTACTCTTTTTTTTTATTTTTTTAATAAAAAATTACATCAAAAGAATTAAGTAAGAACAATTCAAAATTTAAAAGACAAAATAAAAATTTTTAAGAATGATCTTAAAACTCAAAACATTTAAAATCATATAATTAATATTGATGTGTAAGCATCATTTAAAACAACCCATGATATGTTTAACTATCATCATACCTCTTTATCCACGTCATACTTCCATACCACTTATCAAATCCAAATATAAAGTCCAAACCACCAAATACTCAAAAATCCACATAACAATAAATTGTTTCTTATGCACAAAGTGTTGTGAAAGATTTTAGATGATTATATGTCGCTTTTAGAAAAAAAAAATTTATTGAGAAAAGTTTGGTTGGAACAATTTATATTGATAAAAATAAAAGTTTTGTTGAACTTTGTTGACGGTGGAATTTTGTCAACAAAATTATGCCGGATTATTTCTAGGTACTCTCCTAGGTTACCTGCATGATAACGTTATATATGATGGATGTATTGTTGCTATAGGGTTTTTTGTGGTATGATAATTCTAAAAATGTGAAAGTAATGCTTGAATGAATGTAATAGACACGTAAATTTTATAGTGGTTCACTCTGTTAATCAAGAGCTACATTCATTGTGTATTGTATATATTTCTTTTCTATAGTTCTTCTCAGATTACACGAAGAAAGATCCCTTTATTCTTTGAGGCTCTCCCCTTTTTATAGCCCAACGATTACTTCGTGGGCGGTTCTTCTTCGTAGGTTTATCCACTCAAGTGGCCTATGGCTCTATGAGCCCAAATCATAGCCTGTCAACACCTTTTGCACTGTCCACTCGTCTAATTTGTCTCATATTACGGCTCTGCAGACCATGTAATCCTCAACTGTCCATTACAAGCGGTTTTAGGGACTCATAATTAATCCCTGCGCCACTGACACCTTTTGGATCAGACGCAAACTGTTGCGTCAGGGGTCTTTAATGAGGCACTCCGTACTCTACCCTCGACGTCTATAACAGGGGATTAGGTTCTTCGCTTGACTGACTCTCGTGGAGCTTCCAAAGCACAAGTCACACTGGCCTCGACAGTCTTGAGTGGTCAGCGGTCTGAGGATTTGCCCGTATGATTGGCCTTCCAATCATTCAAAAGAAAACAAGGCCCAGACGTCGACCGCTATTTGCTGTGGCAAACCTAAAGCCACGTGGAGCGCTGTCGCCGTCCCACGTGTTAGGGCACATTTTCCCATATAACAAACCTTATTTCATAAAAAGAAGTTTTCTAGCAACTTGTAATAAGGAATACAGATGGCTTCACTTGGGCTATAAATAGCCATACCTCTTCCTGCAATTGATAAGCCATCTACGGAGGTTGTGTAAGAAAAAGAGAGAAAAAAAATTGAGTGTGTTTTGAGAGAATAGAAAAGAAGAAAGAAAATAGTGCAAAACTAATAATAGTATTTTCTCTTTATATTGGTCTTTTTGCTTTATTATTTATTTACCTTACTTATATAATAATATATATACTCTTCCCAATTTATAACACCCATTACCTCTTTTTTTATAATTTCTTCAAAAAGAGTTCTCAGTTTGTATAAGCTAAAAGTGGGGAAGAAAGACAACAGTTAAAGGTTACCTCTATTTATAGGTATACGTGGCACTATAGTTCATTTTTAAAACTATTAGTAGAGATATTTTAGACTATGCTAAACTACAAAATTTTCTTATACTATAGTTTGATAATTGGTAATTGGATATGAATTTTACTCATCAATTCCATATGCTGCACTAATATAGTAATTTTGTTGCTTCTTATATCAATAACTAACCCCTTCATTTAAGTCTATGTAGCATCCTCCAATATTTCGTTCTAATTAATGTTTTCTTTACACTTTGTTTCATGGAGATATTTGTTTTGTTTTTTATGGATCTTTTCGTGATCTGGATCAAATTCTTGTTCTTGTATATTATTTTTGAATCATTTGTTGAAATATATTGTGAATTTGTTGAATCTTTTGATTTTTTTTAGCAATATTAGTTAAAAATAAATATGTTCATTTCTATCTATTTTCTTACTTATAATTTTCAACTTTTGATATAATAGTATTTCACAATATGTCAAACATCACAAAGCTTGAATTTGTTACACTTGATATTTTGAGCAAGAGTGACTACATATAGATCAATCATCTACAAATAATTCATAATTAGAGATATGTGAAATCCGTTAACCTCTTTAATTACATCTTTATTCTTGAATACTATTGATCCTCTAATGAATAGTATATTCATAAAACACATTCATGAATACGAGCTCGTTACTTATTCAAGTGTCAAATCAACCCTCAAGAAAATTATTTATCTACTTCTTTCTCAAAAAAGAATGGATTTCATCTCGTATAATATCATTCTCAGCTACCTATTTCATCATGTCTCTAAAATACAAGGTTTAGAATTCAGGATCTCAGAATCCGTACCGACTAAATCAAAGACACAAATCCATAAATAGGAGTCTGCTAAAAACTCAGGATTAAGATCGTTCCATATATGACCATTTATTAGTGCATAAAAATGCACCCTAAATACTGCTTTTGATTTATATAATATTAAAATATTTAAGCTTTAATCAAAATAATTTCATTATTTTTATTCATAATATTTTTCGTTGGATTTTGTCTAGTTGTTGCTTAATTATTTGCAGATAAAAAGCAGCAAAACAACTCTGAAGATCTTGAAAATCTCATCTAAAATTCTGATTCTGAAAATTCCAGTTCTGCTGAGTTGGCTCACTTGTCTGCAATTTTCAACAATTCACAGGACAGAGGAACTAATGAAAAATATTAAATCTCATTAGTGAGGTTAGAGTTCTTCTGGTGAGGTTAGAGATGAACTTTTATTAGTGACCCAATTCGGGCTTTTGATTCCTTGTGTTGTAAAGTTCAATATCTGCATGAATTAAATCTCATATATCTTTCTTTTACTTTTCAAAATATTATGTGCCAATTTTTATATAAGTTCAGTCACGCTTTTCTTATGTAATTCTGTCACGCATTGTTTTGTTATTCAAATTATTTTATAAATTGTCTTTTACTGCAATATTGTCAAATTGATATATTGTCGATTTTGGATAACTTGTAATAATAATATTTTCAGAGTCAACATAGAGATTTAATTTATTTGATTCTTTTATTTTGTGAATCAAAACTTGAATTGGTGAACGAAACATTAGGGATTCTCGACACCTTACCATTTTTACTACTGAATTTCCTTCATACAAATTTTCTCCTTTTTATTTTATTTGCAACAAAAATCTCAAAAACTCTTTTCTTTTTCTTTAATTCAGTTGTTATTTATTTTTCTCTAACGCTCTTATTTTGCTAATCTTTCTTGTTTATTTTGTTACCTCTCTGTGGATACGACCGCCCTTCTGTGCTATAATTGACCGCTTGTGAACATCACTTTTGGGCGTTAATCAACCATCGATAGACTCAATTAGAATTTCTATACTTAATGGAAATTATCATAAATTCATATTGTGTCTATGTCTCAATTCCACATAATCTCATTATGTGAAATACACTCATTCAATATCTTGTCAAATTAATAGTGCGGATAACACTGTTCCATTCTAAATTGG